AGGTATTCAGTTCATACAAATTCCAGCTTAAGGCTTGTACAGATGAGTAATTTAAGAACTCAAAGTGCACTTCAAGAAGAATAAAGGGGAGATCGTTAGTTAAGGAGAGCGCGCGAAGGGAGCCCGCTCGTTATGCCCCGACGCGGTGATTCTGCTGAAAAAAAAAACCCTTATCGCATTTGATGGCTGAAAATTAAACGTGCTATAAATAACGAACATGCCCTTTAACTTTACAAAATACCTTTACCTGTACCTGTAACACTCTTCGATGTAAAATGGAATTAAGCACTCACGATGAAGCTCGATGTAAAATGAAAATTTTAGCGCAACGACTGATTTTATATCAGCATTAACTGATTCAATACGCTAGAAGAAATTTTAGCTATCTGCTTTATTTGATACTTTAACGTCTTTCTTTTCATTTAAAATATAATTAACCGATGGTTTCTGCCATGTGGGTTAAATCTCTTCCGAAATATTAAGGTAATCAAAAAACGGCTAGTGAATATAATGTAAAATTAAATGGACAAATATAAACTCCAATGAAGCGTTTCTTTTTATTACTAACCTAAACCTCATCTGCTTCGGTACCTTACGACTGACGATCAGGACCATATTACATCAAAAGCCTCTATAGGGTGGAGACATAGTAGTATGAATCGCATAAAGTATGCTGCCACTCAAACCTTCGTAACTAAGTCAGGTTATCTTGTAAATGCCCTGGACAAAGCACGCCTGCCGCTGTGGAATTGGCCAAAAATGATATTATTTCTCCAAACAATGCCTTCACAATCGCATGTGTAGTCTTAGGTCTCGTTTCCGACATATTCTATTCTATTTTTGTTGTTGTTGAATTTACGTTTTTAGTCCTATATTCCATGCGGACACGAAAATAAAATAAGAACAAACATAACTATTTATTTACTTTATCTTTATAATTAACATAAGAGTTGTACTCTTCAGTGGAATTAGTTACTTATATTTTTGTCCAGACCTTTTCCACCTCCGCCCATGATTCACATAGTACACCTTTATACGGTTTCCAATGACTCATAGTTCTCTGAAAAGGCTCTGTTGGATTGACAAACAAACAGACAACGGAACTGCCCGTATGGCAACACTCGGCCCGCCTCGCTACAAAGGAACTCTGCAAACATCCCCTATACGTAAGGCTGTATCGTTTTGTTGTGTTCCGCAAACTGCAGAAAATTCAAAACAATGAATTCATTGTTTATTCTTAATTATTTATTTTTTTATTTTTAATAGGCTACGTTCACGATGAAACTTAGATGTGAGTTGTTCAAGGCGCTGTATGCAGTGAATTTTTAAATATTTGGTTGGTGAAGTATGAGGAAGCGGTGTAGGGGTAACGCCGCTTAGCGGCGCGCATCGCGCTAGTTTCGTTGACGCGCTTCTAGACCAAGTCATTCATTATCTAGTGTGTGTGTAGTGATGGGCCATAGGATACTATCGATAGTATCATGGAAGGCTTTCGAAAATGTACAGAAATGATCCCTGTAATATCTTTTATAGACCATGATTGTATTTTACTTTTATATTATAATCGGAATAATAAAACAAACAAATATAAAGTATGAGAAAGCAATCAACAATTTTAGAAAATCTTCTTCCTGTTTATTATTATTTTTTTAATTAAATGGAAAAGGAATTGATTAAAAATACATCTGAAAGTCAAATAAATTAATAAAGTCAATTTACTTATAATTATTATTTTTTGTTTTTAAGGTTTATATTGTGATTTTAAAGAAATGGCTCATAAAATTTTTGCAGAAATTAGGAATACAACATTTTTTATTACATTTTTTTATATATTAGGAATTTTAATTTATCCTTTAAATGTTCAAGACTTACTATGTTATAATACTTTTTCAACTAAAATGAAATTTAAAAACAAATAAGGATTTTATCGATAAAATCCGTATCGATAAACGACAGCAATTATAACTAGAATCGAAATTTCGTCACTTTGCACAGTCCTCGCGTTGCCTCTTGGTCCGAGCGTCATACACAACGGTAAACTATTGCTGTAGTCCCAAGTTCAAACCACTCATCGAGTGGAGTTGTATTATTTATATTATTTTAACTTTTTATTTGTTACAACAAAAAATTTAGGGATTTGAACCCAATTCATAAAGAAAGATGGTCCTATACACTGTATGTATAGGACTGATAGATCAATCAATCACGACATAAGACATTGAAATTATGCATTAAATAAATTAATAAACAACTGTTAATACATACAAATAATTTATAAATACGAAATATGTGAAAATATATTTTTTAGTTTCATGTTTTCGAAGGTCTAATTAAAATTAAAACTCTCAATAATAAATAAATATGAAACATATTTCGTAACGGTATGCGGGCGATGAGCGGCATAGGTCCATCTAGCAAGGCGCCTCAACGAAGGCGAGCCGAAACAACACCGCGGTGGCGCGGTGTTTTGGCCATCGCGTTCGAATTAATTTTAATGAATTAAATTAATATTACAAATATCTTACTTCAATCAACAAATTAAGACAACAGTCCTTTTTATTAATATATTCTACACCACTGAAATTAATTTCATTGAGATTTGTTCTTTATTATATTATTATTACGTTTAGAGGTAGGTTCGCGATATTTTTCTATCGAGAAAATATATTGAGAATATGTTTTGAAAACAATGGTCCATTAGAATGTAAGATCAAGATTAACATATATTTTTTTTTTTGCTTCTATAAAATGTATAGATTTTGTTAAAAATTTTTTTGAAAAACCTATTTTTACTGCATACAGCGCCTTAAACGTGATTTTTTAATTCGAAAATTTATTTTAGTGGATAAAACTTAATAGTGTGAATGTAAATATTTTTTAAAGCAAAACAAAGCAATCCAAAAGTTTTCGCTGTTAATGATATTCGTAAAGCTCGAATTAATTATAGTTTTTATATTCAATAGTAGCGACCCGCGCCGGCTTCACCGCCTTCCTCTTGAATCAGTCTATCTAGTAAAAAAAACTGCATCAAGATCCGTTGCGTAATTTTGAAGATCTAACCATAGGGACAGACAGACAGCGGGACGACTTTGTTTTAACTATGTAGTGATAGTGATGAATGGCAGTGAAAACAAATGGCAAAACATTATATCTGTACCTCAGAGGTTTGTATCCCTCGAAATTTTTTAAAATTATTTTTCTTACACCATTAAGATGGCTAAAACAAATTCTACACAATAGTATTCCTACGACGCCTAATTAATAAAATATTCAACCATATATGACATTAAAATATACTTACCAACATAAAAATTATAATATACTTACCAATATAAAAAAATATACTCAAAAACTTTACTGAAAGGTGGTAACGCATTTGTAACCTTACGGGTATTGCAAATGTCAACGGGTGGTGTATCCCCAGCACACGTGCCATCTTATTACAAAAAATAAATGCCGTTTATGGCGTAACGCGAAGGATTATGCTTATTTATTTAGCTTCACGTTTTATCTAACGCAGGGCATTGAGTAAAACATTTATTGCAGAATAATGCTGATTAAGTTTGTTATGATACTCGGGCCTCTCTCCGAAGGATCATTAGGAGTCATTTGTCTGCTAATGAACGTGTTGGACCGAGCGAGCCCTCATTCCTTCTAAAGCCTATTTTTCTTTGTCATCAGGCCAACGATAATGCTCGAAAGGAGCTTTCCGCCGCCGATGTCATTACTGCCGGCCGCCCCGGCATCTCCATCAGTCTTCGACGTCGCTAATTGGGCATGTAATGAAACAGGCGTCTCGTTTACTTCAAGTTTTTATTCAGAAATTCAAGTTCGTTAACATTAGTTAAATCACATAACTCGTCCGCTAGCGTGGATTTAGGCAATCAGCTCTCGTTTACGTCGTTTCCCCCACTTTCTCCCACAATCCCCATTAAACGCTAGTAAATATCACTATAATAAATATTCACATATTGCAACGGATCAACATCAGTTGCATTACTTATTGCTGTAACGACGCAATCTCAGCGGCGGAGTACATTAGGAAACTTCAGACTTTAAGAATCAATCAAATAAACTCCGAATATCAAAATATCGCCCTAACACGTACAGACGAGAATCGTTGTAAGTACAGATACATAATAATCATTACATAGTAATTATGACATAAATTACATCGTCCTACGAAATATTTACATAAAATGCCTTTATTGTTACGATAGATTGTATAAATGACTAGAAATTGAGTAATATTTGGCTGCTTCTTAGGCTTACTTGTAGCTTCGACTTCAGTAAATTAATTTCTTTGACCTGTCTTGTAATTCGTTTAGTTCTTCGTTTGAATTTAATAATGTTTCTCATAATTACTACAACACTTTTTTGTTTCAATCAATAAATGTCTTTTGGCACTCTAGATTCAACGTAACGAACAAACATTTCAAAGGTCAACATTGACGAAAATAATAAATTTATAAAATGTAAAGTCAGTCATATAAGTTCATATTTATAATATACAATTTAACTATCTCTAAAAAGTTTATTGAATTACCTCTTTATGAAGATACTAAATGAGTGATGGGTACTTAATGAAGTCTTCAGAACGGGGGAAGGAGGTATTATTAATGAAGACAAATGGCCGGTTATGGATATGAAAGGAAATGAAGTTGTCGACTAGAAATCGCGAAGTCATCGGAAGTAAAGAATGGACGGATCGCACTTAAACCCAAACGATGACAGGGCCTTGGAGCATTTTATTAAGTGGGGGATTGAAATTGAGACGTTTTAAGGTCGATCGAAATCATTGAATACACAAGTAATATATTAATAAAAAATAAATAAATTAAGTTACGCTAATGGCATGTTAAAGCTTCGAAGGCTTTTGGCATGAATGATATAATGATAAGAGTATCTCTTTAGCTTTATGGAAATGATTTCAAGCGCAAGTAATGAAGTCGCCACAATTCTTCATGGAGACGTTCGTGTTCAGCCATTGTTGAGAGTCAGCGGCGCGGGGCAAGCGGACGGTACTCCTTGCCGGCGCGAGGTCGGAGGGTGCTGGCAGCTCTGCGTGGGCTGCGAAAGAATACTATCGTTAAAACTATATATACCCAAGTTTATAGGTTTGACTCGGAAATTTCAGTGACAAAAACAATGCATTTTTATATTTTGATCAAAATTGTTGCTGATTACTTATTATATGTATGTGATGGTATGGTATGTTTTTCTTTTAATTTATGTTGTCTTACCATGGCCCGAGTGGTGTATCGCTGGACGACTGTGAGGAGCACATCGACAATGTTTCCACGTAGTCGGACATGTCAGAAGTTCCACTGGAAGTGCTATGTGCATCCGTCACCCCTGTGGAGATATAGGAAATTAGTGTACGAAATGGACTGGTCCAGTTTTTTTTTATTTATTAATACCTTATATTTATGCATAATCGTTCTCATTAATAAAATCTCAAGTTGTAATTGGGGCTTCAATTTACTAAAATAGCCTAGATTTAGATAATAGATTTAGAAGTAAAAGTCAAATTAAACAATTAAAAAAATAACAAATTTACCATAATTGGTTGGCAACCATAAACATTTTCCATGTGATTTTTATCAAAAATATATATATCTATAACAATTTTAAATGCAAAAAATTATTTTAAAAGCTCCATCTTATACAGTTTACACAACGCGTCTAAACTGGTGATTATTAAATATCTATTATAGAGTTCGTCCACATTTATGAACAGTTACTCGCAGAACGGTACCTCGGAGTGGCTCCCCTGCAGCGGCGGGTGCTGCCGCCTCTGCGGGAGCGCGCGTGGGCGGGCGGCGGCGGCGCGGCCGAGCGCAGCGACCAGCTGGAGACGCCTGAGTCGTTGGAGCTGCAAGAGTCGCGCGCCCCTGGCGGGGCCGCCGCCGCCGCGCCCGCTCGTGTCGCGCACTCGCACGCCGCCCTCGCCGGGGCGCGCCCCCCGGAGAGGTCGCGCAGCGTCTCCATCGAGGAGGCCGAGCCGCGGCTGCCCACGCTGCCCTCGAACTCCTCCACGTCCTCCAAGAACCGCGACGAGTCCACCGAGCTCGAGCGCCGACCGCGGCCGCCGCGCTGCCTCCCGCTAGTCTCCGCGACCGCCGTTCGCCCGCCCTCCGCCCCCTCGGCCTCCACTCGCGGGGATTTCTCGGGGCACAGCGCGGGATTGCTGGCGGATTTTTCCTCGAGCAGTCGGTTAAAAGAGCTCTTTGCATATTTTAATGTATGGAAGGCGAAGCCGCCAATCGGCGACATCGGTGTATAACCGGCCGCCAGAGTTCGATCTCTTTCCAGTCTATCACTATCCAAACTACTGGGCTCCATCATCAGATATTCATCGTTGCTTCCTCCTGTTGTCCTACTACAAGCTGCCTCTGAATCGGTTTCACTCTGTTGATGTCCACATTTTGTACAAACACTTTTCTTCTTCATTGCTGCAAACGACTCTGGTTTTAAATTGGCACCGATTGCATTCAACTCACTTTCAGTGATACCGACCTTTCTTAATAGATCTTTGGCATTTTCGTAATGTTCAAGAGACAAAGCAAAGCTCAGATTTTCATAATTAGCTAAGGGGCCCTCGTCTACTTCAATATCTGCCGACGTCCTACCGTCGGGCGTGGTCCATCCCTCAAGCTGTACTTTTCTTCTAGTCTTTCGAGAAAGATCCACTGTAGCGTAAAGAGCAGTACGATCATCACTGGGTTTCATATTCTCTTTGTTTGGCACAACGTTATCACTTGTATCTCTATTCCTTCTGCAATATGGTAACTTAATCCATGCATGAGCCCAATCTGTTACTCTTCTACAAGGACAGTTAGCGGGTTGAAAGTTTTCTTCCGAGTCTATAATCGTAGGTTCTTTAGATCTTTTTCCGAGTCTTAATAAACACCCACAAGGTTTTTTCAAAACTAGAGTGTTGGTTGTAGAACTTCTTGTAATTTTAAACAATTCTCTGTTCAAACACTCTTTTATTCTTTTTGGGGTATCATAATATTCGCCTTCAGCCTAGTGGAAAAAAATACAAATATAACAGTTGCTACATTAGAATAGAACATATTAAGCGTTGGTTTGTACTCATAAGTATAAAGCATTTACACGACATTTGGTAGTTTTTATTGCTCTCTTTTATGTTGCGAATTAAAAATGTTAATACGAGCATAACAGTAATTACAAAATAAATAACATAAAATCTTACCTCTGCTGAAGGTACTTTTGGTACATCGTAGTTCTCATAGGGACCAATTTTGGTCCCTTTACTTTCGGCCAAAGAACTCAAATGCGAATAACTATGTGACCGAGAAGACAGTGGCATATTGGGTACTTTATTGAGATTCAGTTCTAATTTGTTAGGCTTTGGCGGTCTTATAGGCGGCTTATCAGTACAACGACAAATGTCTTCAGTCTTATTTACAACAGGCAACTTTTCACAACTCTTCGCGCTATCACTTGTCACATTATCACTGTGGAGATTTTCATTCAGCGCTTCCATCGTCCACGCGGGACTGAAGTGTTTAGCGCCAGGCGTCAGTGCGGCTGTAGAAGAGCGTGACAGAGCGCCCAGCTTGGAAATGCAACTCATGCAGCGCTCCAACATGACGCTGTTGGTGCCGTGCCATGGAGCCCCATCGGCACCTTCGACGGTCTCGTTGACGGAAACCGTGTCTCCTAGACCCATATCCTGGAAATGCGCGTGTTCCGCAGAAAGCCAGTACGGTGAGATGTCACCTGGTTCTTCAACGCACGGATCCTCGTACAGCCGCAAGTCCATCGGTGGCAGGGAACGATCTATAGTATTCAGTTCCGAAAGCCTCGTGTCCGACCGGAACGCTTTGTGTGATTTTGGACTTTCAACACCTATTAATAAAGTATATAATGATTTGTTAAGAATTTTTTTATTATTTTTACTTACTACTACTAAAAAGCTATCATCAATGAGTCCACTTTTTACTAGTGTTAAGTAATAAATTTGGGTGAGATTATTAAAATTATTAAAAGAAAGGAGATTGCTCAGAATCATGCCCCTTTTCGGCGTCGTGTCCTATATTTAATTTTTAAAACATTTTTTACTTTTATCTATTTGATTTAAATATTTCTTCACCCTAGCAAATATTAATTAAAGGAATAATTATACATAACGGAATCCAGGTAAACCCATCGATGAAGTGTAAACTCAACATTGCCAATCTGACATTTGTACTATAGAAACAATTGAAATCGATTTAAAATTACTTTTCGAGTAATTGCAGAAAAATCTTCTAGGTAAGTTCACGCTTTCTAAGTAAACAATCATATATGCCTATTTACAATTAAAATATTCATTACAAAGCAGAGATTTTCTGCCATACATATCCATTTTGAAGACATTTTATCTAAGATAATTTAATTAGATAAAACGTAAAGTTGTCACATAAAAAAAAATATCTTATTTGCTAGGGTGAATTATTAGTTTGTAGAAAATATAGAAAAAATAATTTTTAATCTACGAAAATTGTTAATCAAACACGAGTGATAGTATTTGACGACACATTAATATAATATACATAAGGAATATTTGCGATATAAAACTTTTCTGAACACTTGAACTGCTTTTCACCCGACCAAAATCGTTGAAAATCGTTAATCAAGTCAAAATAGTCAAGAAAAGATAATTATTTACTTTTACTTAGTCCAAACCATACCTTCATAAATTTTAATGGCGGCAAATGTTCTTCTGGGAGAGATGTTCCCCCTAGAGGCCAGGTCAAAGTCGCGTGCGATCTCTGCCGCTTGATCGGTCACCAGGACGTGAAGGCCTTCGCTTTTTCCACAGAGAGATCCACCCTCCAAACAAAATCGCCCTTCGACGACGCCATAACGCCTATTAATCGTAATGCTATGTTACAATACTTGAACCGTATGAAATTTAACATTTAAGGGAAAGCAATCAAGAGCAATATGAAGTTATTATAATTTAATCGAAAACATGTTACTGTAATAACGAGTATAATATTTAAGTTATTATGTTATTATCACATATAACTCATATAATAATATATATTGACCTATATAGAAAACCAATTTAGTATTCACAACACAATATTTTTTAATATTGTATTAAAATTGTTTTTATTCGTGTTATGGATACAAAAATCTTCCTACATTCATTCAACAGTAATGTTTCATCATTACATTACCCTGCTGCTGACCTGGATTAATACCTACATTTATAATTATCGTATAATTGCGGTAATCAATATTCTAGTCCAGATTGTAGACTATAAAGCATTAAAATTTTCACATCACGTAGAGCAAGAACACAAACTTTCTGGATAACAGAAATGTGCGCTTACAGTGTCTTGTATGCAATTCCGAAGGTTCTCCGCTTGGGGGTAAATTTCAGATAGCATTAACTTCTCTGTTTATCTAGTTAGACTCAAGAGCTTAACTATACTAACCGTAACATTCAAATTATAGAAAAAAGTCAAAAATTTGTTATTGATTGCAACCAAAGTACCAACCAAGTAACTTCGCTTTTTAAAGGTCGATGTGCACGTGCATAGTAATAATTTTACTGTCATATTTTATTATAACTTCAAAGTGTAGGGAGACGTGACGGCAGTGGATCACCTGAGATGCGATAGTTCCCAAACGGCGAGCAGCCTCGGGGGCACCCCGGCGGCGAGTGCGGCGGCCGGTGGGCGCAGCAGGAGGCGCGCCGGGCCGGCCGCCACCCGGCCCCCCGCCGCCACCACCACCACCCACTGCCGCGACCAGCACAGGTGCGCCTGCAGCTTCACCTGCACCACCGCGCACCGTCACTACAATCTTCATCATCCTTAATATTGCTATTATCTCATTATCTGCTGTATGTGAATACAAAGTTATGACATTACATCGTGTTGGCCTAGGCACTTGTATAACATTTTTTAATAATTGGTAAAATTATAAGAAAAATAAACGTTTTACAGATCTGCTAAGCAATTGCCTTTGACGTGGCGGCTTGTTTTATATTTTCAAAAAATATGTTAAGGTTTAATTTTCATTTATGATTTCGGTTCATTTTATTTCACATAAAATAACAACATATGACTTCCGTGGCAATCGACGTATTATATGTGTTACGAAAACCTATAACCCAAGCCAACATCGTAGTAGCAATTAGGAATTTGTAATAATAGCCATGGAGGTGTAGCAAAGCACTAACCTGCCACTGCATGAGCCGCTCCCGCGTCTCGAAGGCCAGCACGGCCGTGAAGTCCTGGCAGATAAGCGCCAGCGTGTGCGAGTGCTTGTCCAACGTGAAGCCGCTCTCGCAGCCCAAGTAGCGCTGTAGGGAGAGGGAGGCCTTGCTCGCGGCGCCCCCCCACCGCGCCTTCGAGTCGCGGTACACTTGCAGCTGCACGCAATCTGCCCCCACCCCGTATCATTCGCAAACATAAGTCACTGTTACACTGCTAATCACATACAAGAGCAGGCGCGCGGGTTGGTATTATACTACTTCGATTTAATGTTTCGTTTTTTCACCTGATGTTAAGTGATAACCGCCGCCCATTCTAATGTGCAACACCGGTAGGGTTGCAGATGTCCATGGGCGACGGTATTCACTTAACATCAGGTGAAGTATTACGCGAAACGCATTCTGTGTCAATACGTAGAAGCATACGGTCCATATGCGCTCTTTGAGTCAGTAATTGTCGTTTCGACGATAGCGGTGCCACTGACACATAAAACATAATCCGTCAGTAAGTATTTCAGTGAAAAATGTGTTCTTGTAAGAAATCCCCGCCTTTACACCTGTCTTCAGCAATTTAGCTTTACAGTGAGGCGTGGCGCTGGCTTCGTGTTTTATGGAGCTGAAAATAGAACACGGGAAGTATGGGAAGGTCGGACGTTACAGTGGGAAAATTTGTCTCGACTCATCTACGGGTGTCTTATTTTCATACGTTTTTTTACATTATAAATATTTGAGTATTCACTCATGATTTTCGAAGCTAAAAAGACATGTGGATATATATATATATATATATTGAAATATATGTGGTAAAATATTAGGAATGGCTTAAACATATAGTCAAATCACGACGTCTCAGGTGCTGCTCTAGTATATTTAAAATCTTCTTCTTTCTCCTGCCCTTATCTCACTTAGAGCCATAACATGTGAATCATGCTGATAATGTTTTTGTCTGAATTTTATTTTACGACCGATTGCCTGAGGCAACCCTACTTGGAAATAGACACTCAGGAACAGTAATCTGTGATGTCACACGAATACTTGTCCCGCTTTTAATCAAATCACGACCCCTGGTGCCGGAGCCAATACCTAAGCAACTGCGCCACCCAGTCAGCATGCTTTAGTTTATTTAAAAAATTCCGCACTTATTTGCTGTAACAGTTACAGTGCTTATATCGTGACCCAGATCCTTTTTCGTTCGGGTCTATAATGTCGTCTCACAACCGAATTATCCTTTAGTAAGAACGAGCTCCTTGGCAAAGGCATACCACAACAGCAGTGCAGACGACGTATTCAGGTCCGCAGTATAACAAAATGCAAGTAAGCGTACTTGTTTTGTATTTCTACATTGTTCCGACGTACGGTCGCTAATACAAGTGGGTCAGATGCCTGTTACTCTCGCTGTGACTCGCTCCGTGCAGCTGTTTGGCTGAGAAAAGTTGTTGTGGCCGCATTCAACCGTACGAGCTTTGAATTTACGACGAACGGTATGGTAAGTCTCCCGTCATACTTTTGTTTCATTTCAAAACTCCTTTAACTTGTATTTAATCTCCTCGACTCGATTTATGTATGTGTTGTTATAAACATGTGCATTACTAAAAACGCAATAAAGAAAGTAGATAGATAACGAGATTGTCATAACAAGAGAATATCGGCCACTTAGCTCAGTGAGTTAACGTTACATAAAAACCACACAGGTTCAAACCTTCAGCGCGTAAAATTTTCCGAAAATTTTCTACAAAAATTTCTCATTTTAAAAAGTGTTCTATTCGTTTGGAGGCGTTTATGCTACATAATAATCACATATTCGATAATCGCAGTTTAGTACTTTTAAAAGTATCTACATGATATCCGAAACCTTTGGGTAAAACTTCCTTGCTAGCATAACATATTATAACTTCAATAAGACTAATACGATTCAGTGAAATGTTCGAGGAATTCAATCAAAAGACGAAATGGTTCATGGTGAAGGGCCGGAGGGGGATTGCGAAGCGTTCACTCGGCCCGTGATGCGACTAATGAGCGAGCCGAACCATTAAACTGCCACCCGCGACGCCGCCGACAGAGCGCTTGCAATGGGATCCTTGTGCAGTTGGATCGCCATCGAGCACATTACGCGCCGCACATGTGAGCAAAGCGGTTTTATAGTGTCAAGCCGGCCGTGTACAGGCCACACACAATTAAAGTCGCTGCAGCGCCGGCTGTCGACAGGCCGTGTCATTTATCGACGCTCTTTGTTTGTGTCCCGTAGTGACGTCCCGTTACTGGAAACATCGGTCAAAAGTCGAGTTTATGTTCCCAAATCTTTTTACTTTTTGCTCATTTATTAAATTCTACCGATATATTGTTTTATGTACAGAAAAAAGAATCACAGTGGATTTAAATAATTTAACGTCATTAATATTACTACTATGGTAATATAATTTCCCAGTTTACAATTGTTTTATTTTACTTTTTGTTAGACACGTACGTTTGGAAGATTTTTGGGACATAAAAATCTCGTATATGTAAGATGAAACAATCGAGACTGTGATGAAGAAAGTTATTATAAAAATCCTGAAAGAGGTGTAGCAAAAATTTAAATACGTTATTTTTCGTAACACTTCAAACATTTTGGGAATTTTTATACGTGAATTTTCGATATAGCGAATTGCACCAACTCGATGGCACATCACGTGTCATTTGTCGGCGCCTTTGTGTGTCGTTTTATTGTTCCTTTGTCAGCGGCCGCCGGCGGCCACGCGCCCGCCCTCCGCGACTCCACTACTACCGGCTTTGAAGTCGAATTCACATCGACGACCAATCATTGTGGGAATTTCATTAAAGTTAAGGTATTTTATAATTTTTATAATATATATATATATATATATATATATATATATATATATATATATATATATATATATATATATATATATATGACTTGCGACCTTTCATAACTAACACAGTACTATGTAAACGATATAAATTTTACAACAGTAAAACGGAAATAACAAAACATATAAACGTCCAAATACTTTTCATTATTATCGTCATTATCACAATTAAATCAGACGCACGAAGAGCATACCGTTCTATTTCCCTAAATATTTTTATTTCTTAAATACTTATCAATCTAAATATCCAAATGGCATTTAGATTAATTAAAAAGTTAAACCAAATAAAGCGTTGTAACATGACACTTTGTTAGAATTATGCGACAAAAAAAAACTATTAGTTCAATGCTTTTGAGCATTAAGAAATGTTACTTACGTGTAGAGTACGAAACATTCTGAAAGTTACAAGAATAAACGGGTGTCAAGATGTCATGACGGATGTTCTAAAGGGAACGGACGTAAGCTATTAGCAACTAGTTTAATGGCTTGTCACATCTGTAGACACGTCACTAGTTCTCTCGACCCCTCTACTGGGCTACTCTTGCGATGCAATCGCACTGCGTTTAACGGAGTGCTAAGTTATGTACTTTAATAGCTTCGTTTGTAATTTTCTTTTAACTTAAAAAACGTCTAGAGTACAAAGACACATTTTAAATTATAAAAAATTCATACTGTATGATAAAACGTAGTAATTTTACATTAACTTAACTAGAACTTTAAATCGTTTTTGTTAAAAAACTGCCTTTACGAACTACATTTTTTTTACAGATAACATTAATTAAGAAGTATTATACATTTATTATTAAGTTTCCGTAGGTTTTATATTCTTCTATATATTCTGACCTATATTCGGCCGCGATTAACCATCATTTAATCTATATATATAAAAATGAATCCCTATTTCCCTTGGTCACGCCATCACGCGTGAACGGCTGGACCAATTTCACTTTTTGTTGTGTTTGTTATTATCAGGTGTTTCGTATGAAAGAAAAAAAAATAAAAATTTCCTGAAAAAGTCTAAAAACAACACTTCTATATTCCCGTACAAAAGATTCGTAATAATACTTAAAAATCAATTTGAACTTTAATACCATACCATACAGTTTAAGTGTTAGTGGAGGGATTTCGGGAAGACAAGTGTGACTGTGGTAAAATGTCACTTGAAATGTAAACGTCTCTTTGCTATGCATTAGTACATATAAAATAAAGTCGTCCCGCTGTCTGTCTGTCCTTATGTATGCTTAGATCTTTAAAACTACGCAACGGATCTTGATGAGGTTTTTTTACTAGATAGAGTGACTCAAGAGGAAGGTTCATATCTTTACGTTCTATATTATAACGGCGAAAGTTTTTATGTATGGATGGATGTTTGTTACTCTTTCACGCAAATACTACTGAATGGATTTTAATGAAATTTTACATTAACATAGTTTATACCTTAGAAAAAGACATAGGCTATAATTTATATACATATTTTATATAAATCTCTCGTCTTTCTGTCTGAATGTTACGCCTTCAGACTATTATACGCAGACCTAGTCGCGGGCAGCAAAAGTAAAGTAAAGTATCAGCCTATACATGTCCCACTGCTGGGTAAAGGCCTCCTCTGTACAGAGGGCATAGTCCACCACGCGGCCCCACTGCAGTTTTGCGGACTTCACATATGTTCGAAATATATATTTTTCGTTATTATTTAGAAAATATGCTGGTTTCCTCACGATGTTTTTCTTCACCGCGGAGCACGTGATAAGTCAGCACTTAAAATTAAAAACTTCATTGGTGCCGGCACCGGGGGTCGAACTCACGATCGAATACATTGCAGCCGTGCGAAGCCGGGGAGGGTCGCTAGTGTTAAATAAATACCAAAATTTGCGCCCATTTATTCTTTACAAGTTATTTATCGTCAAGTTTTCATTATTTATTTATATTAAGCAATAACTCGTTTTCAAATCACTGTACAAAATCACGTGCTCATTTGCAGTTTAGATGACGCATTGAACAAACAAAATTTTCATATTATTATTCATATTATGAGTATGAATGCCCTTGATTATATGATTTCTTAGTGATTTCTTAATTTTCTTTTATTCGTTAAACAATTATTTCCCCAAATGACTTGAAAAAAAAATTAGGAGAGTGATCTTAACTACCGTATACGGTACCGTATATACAATTATTTAACATAACTTAAAATATAAACTTTTAGTAAAAAAAAAGATACAACAAAAGGCAATAACTCTGTTTTAAGCGATCCAAATCCCGTGTCCGTTGCGATATCAACGGCACAAATTACACCGTTCAGCAAGCGTTCAACGAGTCGTTACCGCATTACGCATTACGCGCGTAAATTGGCGAGGCGAGGCGTGGACGGCGCGCGTCGCAGCCGGCCCGCCCTCCGCCGGCCGCAAACGCACGATCCGACACCGCGATTCCAAATTCAAATTAGTGGGTACGCTTTTAAATTTCAGGGCGCGGGCTCAGTCGGCCGAATTGACGCGTTAAATAACTAGACGAGAACTGAGGGCACGCTCGTTAGACGTCGCCCGCAATTTGCCCGCCAAATGACGCCGCTTGTCGATGAGCGCTTTAGTTGATCAACTGAGAGCGGCCCACGTCGCGCCGTCATGTCTGCCACCTTACAACCCGCACGATCATACCCACTTCCTTTAAATCAATATTGTAAAGCCATTTTATTCTGTACATCGTCATTTCCCTTCTTGTACATCGTCATTGCACACCCTTTTAAAAAGTGGGCATGATACAGAAAGGGATGAACATTAATAATTAGTAATGGCGCGGATATCGACTTTCTACTCGAAGGTCTAGGATTCGGATTCGATTGTCATACTTGTTTAATTCTATGTGAATTAGTGGCCCGTTGCATTGAATCTTGACTGGATGAAACGTGGACAACATTAGATATTTCTGTCTACCCGTTGGAATTGAATGACATTAGTACATTCTGCCGTAACAACTAACAACTGTCCAGTCAAGTGCCTCTTACTATGATTGCACAATACTTGCTGCTCACACAGTTCATAAATCTGTCTGATGATGAAATGTTATGATATCATGATTGAAATGCATCTAGTTAAAGACATTTTCAGATTGATGTAGCTTCATAGCTTTAGTAAAACTCAATTACGCGTTGCTTGTTGATTTTTATTAGAATGGAGAAGAAACTGTTTTAAAAATTTTTGCAAACCCTTCCCAATGTGATGTGTGTAGCACCAATCGCTTTATAGGTCTTATAGTTAAGCAGATATCGTATACGCTATTCGAGCACAGAGCGACTGGAGCGGTGTGAGCTAACGAGCCAACAGAGCCAACGGAGCCACGCGCCAAGAGCCACGCGCGGCACTCAATTAGGGCGGCGAGTGTGCACTAATCGTGTGGTACGTCAACACTCCCCGCCGGTGAAGTCAATTTTCTTGTAATAGCTCCAAAGTTGCTCTATTTGCTTAACTAATGACTCAAATTTGCGGCCAACCCGACCACCACCTTGTTACGTGAGGCGCACCAGCCAGCGGAACTATTTGATAACGCTAATTGTTCTAACACTGTAGTAAGTACGCGCGTGTCTTGGAACGTAATTGTTCATGCATAAAGTATCAGCCTATACATGTCCCACTGCTGGGTAAAGGCCTCCTCTGTACATAGGGCTAAGTCCACCACGAGGCCGCACTTTGGGTTGGCGGACTTGACATATCCTCGGAAAATTCTAAATATAAAAGTATCCTCATAATGTTTTCCTTCATCGCTGATTATGTGATAACTTAGTTTTGAAAATTAACAATTTCATTAGTGCCAACACCGGGGATCGAACTCAAGTTGCTGGAGTATATTTAATTATAAGCGAACGCCCGGACAATGAGCTAATGCATATACTATATTCAAACGATTGGCACTGATATTTTCATATTTACTGGAAAGACTTAACAATTACCCTACTCCACTTTATAGAACTATGTCAGCTTTTACAAATTTAAAAACATTGCCAGTAAAGCAAATCTATGCAAAAAGAAATCGTAGTTAGGAACTTTCATTCCATTTGAAAGTATATTAATAAAACAGATTATTCTAAATATTTTTAAAACACTGTCACGGTAATAGAGCAAAGAGAGGCGGCCAACGTTTAATGGCACTCGTGCACCCAGTCGAAAAATCACGCGCCGTAGCCATAGCGCGCCGCCTCGTAGCACGCGGGACACGTAGCGCGGCGGCAGCGCTACGAGCACGCCCGCCCACAAACAATCCGCACTGCTTGGCATTTGGTATTCAAGAGAGAGCGGCGCTCGCATAGAGTCGTCGCCGCTGAGCGCGCGTATTCTGTGCGCGTTGTCGCCGACACCCTTTTTGTTCAGAACGCGCCATCGCAAATTCCCATTTCACTATGTATAGGTGCGTTCCTATTTAATTTCTACGGCGCGAGGTTTTCGAGATTTCATTCATTCGCCCGCGTACGGGGAATCTTTTGGCGCGGCGTTTTGTGCGCCCTAGCGTTTGAACATGTCAGTTTTAATCACGTTCGCAGAGGAAATTCAATGGCTGTGCACGTTGCGGCTGCAAAATTATTCCTCTTACAAATTTAATTAATAGACGTTTCCTGCTAACGATACCTACCTTCATGCACCCAATTTATTCCAATGAAAAAAATAAACAGAAGTTGAATCCGTTGAATGAAAACTAATCAATTTAAATGCTTACTTCAAAAATAGAAAAGAAAAAAAAAATATTTTTTTGGAGGCTAGTATGATATATAATATAGGTATGTATCCGCTGTCTTATCTTCAATTTTCTTTTTCCTTGGGTGCTAAGTCGTCGTAAAAATTCATTTGTGAACAAGTAATTTCAAAATACTATGTGTATGTCATTCACCTACCATACCCTCCATTCCACAAACTTGCCTACGCAACTCACCCGTTTTGAACACGTTTGTTTCTTAATTCAACGTCATGCTTACTTACTTTTACTTAATACTCTCACACCCCCCGAGGCAGTTTATATGTGCGTACGCATAGGAAAGTATGGAATAGGAGATCAATTTGACAGGAGCGCACAATCAAAGCCGTCGAATTAATGAGCGCCCTGCGAGGGTCATCAATATGCAAAAGGCGTTGCAAACTGCCCTTCACGCGCGAACCCTACGTGAGGGTCCCCCAGGTGCTCCTCGGCTCACTAAATGGTCCCATCACCAGTGTAGCCTTTATGTATATATCTCTTGCTTTTTTAATAATTTTTCTAGACATATACAGTACATACGTGCGTATTATGGAAAAAGACTGTTTCATATGCAAACGATTATAAAAAATCATCCGTTCTATGATATGACAGGATATATGGCGACAGAAATAGTTCCTAAAATCGATTAAGTCGCCAGATGTTATTTATTTTACATTGTGATATTTTATTTAAATAATCAACTATTTGTGTGTTATACCATAGATAACTTACAGCGCACAAAATGTTTGACCAGTGCAGCTGACAAACATGGTGCTTTTTATTTATGTGATATTGAAAATTCTTCGCTGTTCGTGCTATGTGTCTATGAGGGTCACGCACAGTGAACGCGCGGACACTCACAACCCTCGCCCTTCTGCAATTCCGTTCATTGAATATTAAACAGTTGATGGGAATTCATCAGAATCGACTGACGGTTTTCACTGGTGTTTGGAATCAGTAACAGTACGATTGACTTTGATTTAGTTAGAGAAGTAAATAAATATACGAATAATATTGAAAATGCTATAGTAATTTTTTGAAATGAACTAATAACGCTTAATATCTGTTATTCATTATTAATATAATAAATATTACTATAGCATATATATATATATATATATATATATATATATATATATATATATATATATATATTAAATTTTACAAAGTTACCAATTTTATAGACTATCTGTAAGATGTTTGGAATCAGTTTTGGTTTTTAAATCTGCATGTGACTTCATGAAATTATTTCACAGCATTTAATTCGTTTAAAAAAATATTACATTCATTTCTTTGAATAAAGATTTTCATTGCATAATGGTTAAAATAAGACTAAGAGTAGCTCATAGGAAAGTTGTTTTAATTTAAATTACAAAATTTAGCTCAACAAGATATACGCCAAAGCTATTAATCACAAGATAGAATATATATATAATTCGTACTTCAAAATAACCGTAATTGCTCTGTAGCAACAAAAATCTAAATTCAAGTTACAAACACAGTCAAAGGTGATGCAAATATCGATGCCGACAAAGCGTTCACCGACGTCACTCCACCATTCCCTGTGATTATGTAAATGCTGCCCAGGACCCATTTAATGAACACAAATTATTTGAAAGTTGGCTCAATGAACGCTCTAAGATGCTAATCGCCGTAGAGAGGAGTCCCGAGTGCCGGAGGCGGTCGGCGGCAGCTGATAAGAGCGAAAGGGGAGAGAGCTCCTTAGGGGTTCCTCAGATTCGGATCGACGGGCGCGGGGCTCCGATGTTGACATGAGCCAAAGCGATATCGTTGATAACACACACGCATTATGTACTAGTAGTAGCTGCATCATATTGTTGTAATAAAAGATCCCGATATATATAAGGAGTTCTACATAAATATCGATATCGGATATAAACTTTTACTCACACACATTCGTTTTCACGTGTCTTTATCATCTCATATAGCAACAGCTTGTATTATCTATCTTTTACCTCTGTACTAAGTTATAGGCAAAGCAAAATTTACGTCAAAACAGATTTGCAATGCAAACGTTTAGAAAAAACAAAAATAAATTTTGAATCTTGTTGCATCTTGAATCAATGTTCCAAAGCTATTGAAATATGAACGAAAATAAGTTTCTCAAAGTCCTTAAATCCGCCTTCCATATGAATGAGAGTAAGAAATAGAAAATACGTATGAACGAAATAACTTTCCTTGATAAAGCCCTCGCAATGAACGGGGAAACGGTGTATTTCCTTGTTCGTTCAAGAGAACACTTGCCAAAGGCCCGTCTCGGGCGGGGTTCATTAGGGGCCGCGTGGGCCCTGACAAGGCGTTGCAAACGCTGCGGTAATAGCGGCCATTAGTGGCTCTCTTCCAATGCACTCGATTGTATTCGATATACCCGCAAGAAGCGAATTTGAAATTAAACTAAAGCGAGTATTGAATATAAACCATTTAAATACTTCACGTGACTAGTGCTGTATTGGAAATAGTCGCTGAATCTCTTTACAATGATGCTACCATAAAGGAACCCGCTGTTTATATTTGATGCACTTGAATGCGGTGTGTTTCATACCAGAGTAATAAACGCAGTCATAGAAACTTTTATGTTTGAAATGTTTGAGGAGGTTACGCGATAGAAATTCTCTCACGTCATCGTCGCGATCCTAACGATGGGTTGGCTGAACATTTCCCCGGCAGCGGTTTAATTCGATTCAGCCGCGAGCACTCCTCTGGGCGGCTCGTTAGGAGCATCGCCCTCATTAACGGCCTCCCGCGCCGCTTTTGTGCCGCGTAAGCGAACGCGTGCTTTCCGCAAGCCCACCTCCGCCGCACCAGAACTTTTCATTCGACGCGGAAGTGTTGCGAGATTTGACTGGTGTTTCAAACGCTCCAACATTTATCCTCAATGATATATTTGTTGGAGAAAGGAGTCAGCTTCCGTTTAACTTACAGTTGATTGCCATTTTAAGATGGCTAAACGAATTTTAATATTGAGAACGATTACTATACATAAACACTATATTCTACACTGACACTTTGTTACTACTAATTGTAGGCTGCTCGAGAGAGCTAAGTTTATAGCAAAAATCGTTATATTACAGACAACAACCGACCTGCACTGATACAAAGTAATGAACTATACCGTATTTCCTTCTTTTTTGATGTATTATTTTATTTTAATTGATTGTGGCCGGAAGGGAGTTCTTTAAAAGATCTCAAAACACTGATTGTAAGGAAAAGGACATTTATAGCTGCACACAAACACTTCGTTTAGGCTTAACTAACACATATTTTATCAATTTAAAGTTCGAAGTTGAATGAAGAATGTAATGCCAGTTAAGCATTAGTTCAAGTTTTTGAGTACATAGTAAACTATTTTTAGATTTATTTACCAAACTTCATCTGTTTATCTTATCTCGTTGTTGTCTTGGGGTTTTTCACAGTGTTCACAACTTTCTTTAAAAAAATAATTAGTAAAAATCGCCGCTGGACTTTCTGGTGTTACAAATTAGAACTGTTAATGAATAAAAAAATTTAGATAAAAGCCTTACTATGATAAATTATTTACATACTTAAAGAGCTAACAAATAATAATAGACCGATAATTTATGATGGAGTGTATCGCACCCACGAAATTGATCTTTTAGGGGCGTATATATTATATGAATAACATTGTCTTCTCATTTTATCGTAACATTTAGATCGCGTTATCATAATAAAACAATGAACTGTTTCATGGAAGCAAACAATCGTCTGTCTTCTGCTGCTGCATGATTTACAGTTGCATAGTTGGCACGGCTGGAAAGATGGCCCACGCAGAAGGAATGTATATTTCATATATCGATAGTGATTTTTTAAATCTACCAACCTTTCCTAATGAGGTTCCTCTCGCGAAGAAGAAACAGGCAAAAGAAACTCCGTGGGTATTCTTCTACTTCATTTTTTAGCATCCCTCTCAAATATTGAAAAAGTATAATAATTGCAGCTGGCGCACCTTTTAATTAAGTGGGCCCCGGCTACCTCACTCACCAGAAGAAACGCAGAAGTATGCCACTTCACGCCAGTCTTCCGTGAGGTCGCGGTACTTACGTGGTACTACTACCCAGACGGACCTGCCCATTTGTGCAACAGCAAAGAATGTTGCGTGGCCCTACCTGAATAAAAATTATTTATTAATTGCCTGAAAACAAAAGAAAATGATCGCTTTAAAAACGTATAATATTCTGAAGAGTGGGCCTTAAGACCTGTTAGCAAAACGCAAATCATTCGGAGAATCAATAAGCGTCCCCCGCATAAGCAAATCGCTGCACGGGAGCCAACTTGGCCGCGTGCCCGAACCTCGGCCGCGCTCTCAATGGGTGCGATAAGAAAGGGGATGCCTTCCAGCGGGAGTCGCGTTGCGCGTGAGCGTTTGGCAGAGGTGACGGTTCTTTCAGACATATTCCATTTAATAATAACGTCGTTAATGTTGAAAAGATTTAGTAGGACAACGAAACCAAAACTGACCGGTGCCTAATGATGGGAACCATATTATGGTTTTTAAGCAAAAATATTCGATTTGTAAAAGCACCTAACTTTTGTTAGGTTTTCACTATATTTTTGTTTTTTTTAAAATCCATTGACTTTTTGCAATATAATTGGCATAATTGGAGCATTAAACCTATATATTAATTTGCTCTCGAACCTAGTCATCTTCGGAGTGCAAACGCATCTGACATATGTACGCAAATTGGATTATTTTTCTAAGTAAAAATCCCTAACCCTTTGACAGAATTTTCAAGCGCACAACTAATCTTATTAAACTTGCAACCAAGTAGAGCTGACTCCTGTGTGGTTTTAATTTCATTAAGCGGTCCTCGTGGAACGTCGCTTGTTAGTTGTTAGTTGAAAGTATCACTCTCATTAGTGGCTGTTTCAGCGCATTCTACGTTTTGCCTCGTTCACCCGTCTAAAATCTAACAGATAATGCAGCCAACTTTTAGTTTATATTGACTTCTTTGGCAAACTGTGTGGTAGTACGCTAATATTGTACGATGATTATGTGTACGATTTCTACTGATTAAACGTTCAATCAATCAAATCAAATCGAGTTTTAAATCAACGTTCAATCAATCACAATCAAATCGAGTTTTAAATAAAAAAAATCGAGTTTTAAATCAAGTTGTAATTTTCTCCAATTTCCAGATGAAATTTAAATCTGATGCAAACAATTAAAATTAGCGTAATCGCTTGAAACGAATGCATTGATTACTCTCTGAACAGATCCAGCACGAACAGGGAAGAGTTCCTGCGGGACCAATTAGTGACGAAAGGGCACATCCGAGCGCCTCCCCGCGTCATTAGGACCGCCGACACCAATACAAAACAAAAATGGGGCACAGAACGCTATTGGAAACGAGAGCTCTTCACTCCGACTGTCCCCTGGGTCGCGTCGCAAGAGGACCACAATGGCTGACGCCGTCAACAATCGTTCCGTTACACAATTACCGTTGTCACAATTATATTCCACTATTGAATACCTTCTTGTAGAACAATTCATGAACGTCATGATTTGTTTTGTTTTACAATTTGTGCCTTAAATAACAAGTGAAACTTGAGTGACACCTGAGCATGAGGAAAAACAATAGGTGTTTGTATAGAAAAGTAAATCTAATTTGCAAAATTGCACATAATTCGTAGTTATTAAAAGGGAAAAATGCTAATTATTGAGAATAATTTTGCCTTAATAACAAAAACCGACTTAACAAATATCTCGCTCTGTATTAATTTTATAATTAATTTCCCTAAGTATCTCCGGAGCCCAAGATCCAATACCAATGAAGTAAATATGCTTAATAGCTTTCAAATAAAACAGAATCAACAAAATCGGTTCATCCAGTCCAAGATTTCTGAGAAAACAAACATTAAAAAAAATGCAGTCGAATTGAGAACCTTCACCGTTCTTTAAGTCGGTTGAATACATTATGAAATTTCACTTCTTAATGAAAAAAATTACATTGTTTCTTGGTTTCTAAGTAAGGATCGTCAAATGAAAGACTCGGGATTCTGTTAACCTCGTGAAAGTTAAATCGTAATTGATTTTGTTGTTGCAAATATTACTTCGGATAAACAAATTAACAGTCAAACGGACAAAAACTTGTTAAACGTCTTCTTAAATCATTGTGATGTTCAAATAGTCATAATTCCATTCATTGAGAAATCTCTGCCGAACATCTCGACTTCACTTCTTTAAAATTGTTTGATGCCTTTAAAAATTTAATAGCAAATCGTCATATAGGTATAGGACATAGTTTGTTACGTTTTCAAAATCTGCCTCGCAATATAATAATGTATTAAGGCCTGTTACTAATTTATAAGCATTGCGCAATTGCTAATGTATCAGCTTCGTATTATTAATGAAATAAAATGAAGATATAAATAACTATATTATTCTAGTATAAAAATACATGAAAATTTTTCAAAACTCAAGTTCTACATATTTAAAAAAAAAAAACTCAAGTTTCAAAAATCTGCGCCCTCCAGGATACGTTCTGATTACGTCTTTTTTTCTATAAATTTTTGAATTTCATCCTTTGTGTAGAAAATACGACTATAAAAAGTTGTATCTTTAAAAACATAGTACATAATAATTTTAAAATGTAATAAAAAGAAGCAGACATGAAATGTTAAGATTTTCTTTTGTGACAAGATAAACCGTTAAGCTCATTGGTTAGAGCGTCGGGCGCGTATCCCGGAGGGCACAGGTTCAAATACTCTTTTTTATGTGAAAAGTTGCCAAGCGAGCAGACGGTTCACCTGATGTTAAGTGAATACCGCCGCCCATGGACATCTACTACACCCGAGAGCTGCAGATGGGTTGACAAACTTTTGAAAATTGGGCTCCGGCCACCTCATTCACCAGACGAAACGCATAAGTATTATACTTCCACTCTTCTCGTAGCGACGAAAAACTATTCGTCCATCTTTCTATAAATTTCATATTAATAGCGGAGAATAGCACTATAAAACTTAAAATCCTTTAAAAATATACCATTAAATATTCATTTCTAAATAAATAATTTTAAGTAACGCGTACTTTGTTTACTGTGGGTTTCTCGGTTCAAAAATTTTGATGAAATAAGTCTTACACCCAGTTTCCGAAAGCGCAATCAATTTTAATTTACGATAAATCTCTTGTCAAACGTTGTTTAACATGATCTGAGTTGCTAGAACGTCTGAAAACAACATTGATTTTGATTTGCAATTAGTCACTAATTAACGGACAATCAACATAAAATCGAGTTTCTGAAAGCGTTTTTCGGTGGTCAACTCAAAACAACGGTTGACAGCTCAAAAGTTTTATTAAGTAATCTGTCAATTTGGACGATCAATCGTTGGTTAAAAATGTATTTTATCAAAAATCTAAGTTTTTATTAAAAATAAACATAATTCCCTAATACGTTGTAAGGAAATCCATGTGTTCTATTAACTATTTATTATTTATTATTTTGCGAACATATCATGTGATTAGAAAAAATAGAAAATGCAATTCAAAAGTTAAAAAATAATATGGATTCTATCTTTTTATAATACTTACTTGTTTATTATGGATAAAAGTTCATTTTTTTCACGTTCTGTAAAGTTTTTTCTTGACATTTTGCATGTATTTATATAAATTAAATTTTATTATAGCTCGGATTTCTACGTTGGCAATCACACGGTGACAGGACTGGATAGTGACATTAATTTAAGTTTTGTTTAAAAAGGGACAGCTATACAATAGAAAGAGTTAGTTGAAGTAAATCATTCATTTCATTCATTATCATTGGTTATACAGTGATTAGCTAATTTTTCTTGAACAAACCTTCCAGAAACCCAAGGCAGTTTAACAAGAGATTAACAGCTGATCATTTTTGACATAGTGTTATGTGATTGCTGCTTTGATTGGCCTTTCGGAAACTGGGCATTAATGGGTTATATTTATTGAAATTATATTCCTTTTGGCGCGTTTCGAAAACATTATGAGCAAACCGACCCCGTACTGTAACTTCATAAGTGCGTAAATAAGAACAGACCATTTTTTTAGAACTATGTATATAATAATTTATATCCACAGAAACTGTCTATATAAATAATTTTCGTTATTTTACTTAATACCAAAATTAAACATTAACATTACGAAAACCGTAACTTGTATGATATAAGCTTCCTTGGCTTACTAAAACCTTTTGAATGTAAGAGGAAACATAGCATTTCCTGGCACATTCACGTGGATTTATGGCGAATGATGGGAGTCGTTTTAGCATGGTGTTGGAAATATCTGGAGGTCCCGAAGGGTGGAAATTTTGTAATAACAGTTCAAGGGATTTTTTGCAACGAACATTAGGCTGAGTACAAATTAAAATTACCATAAATGCGAATATTTTTTTATGTCAGACACCTATGATTTAAAAATGTATCGCGCATGTATATTGAAAAGTGTAAATTTATTAAAAACGATTGCATTTTATACCCTAATGAAATCAAATTCATTATGAAATCTGTTAGTCTCCGCACTGCCCTCTGCATTACTCATTTCTTGGTGTGTATACTAGCGATTAGCAACTACCACATGACAGAGCCATCAGGTTCTCAAGCAGTATAACTAGCAATATGTCAAAAAGTGCAATTCATCAGACATAAAATTTTGTTAGGTCACCGTCGAAAGACACCTTCTTACGAGTATTACCTTATCGATTCCTCGTATTAAATAGTATATTAACACACGTGTGCCGATGCAGCACTCGTTTATTATTTAATACGTAACGCAGGCCGCGTGCGAGTGCCGCTGGGGTGTGTTGAGGGGCGAGGGGAGGGCGGGTGACGGGGGGAGGCGCGTTGGCATCCATCGCACGTTGATTAATTAACATGGAAATTATTAACGACACCGAGCAGAATGCATTACGGCAGACATGTGTACATTTTGTATGGATGACGCCGGATAAACAAATTAGCCGCGCTAAAACTTGATTAGTTGACTTGCATCGCTGCGGTGTATTGTTTAGCTCGACGTCACTTTCATGGCCGATTGATGTGAATTGGCCACGCCACCGAGTTGTAATTTAGTGTCCGCTCAATCCGCAATTTACCGATGCCTCAGTATGTAAAATTTATTAACATACATTCATTCATAAACACAAGGATGTCACCCAGCGGGTAGGCAGACATAATATTTGAACACAACGGTTACGAGAGTGCTAAGAAGAATATTGGGGCCTCGTCCCTCATCTTTTTCGCTCACGCGCACCTCTATTACTGACTACTGCCCAGCGAATTGCTCTTAACTTCAGAGCGGTTACTAAATTTGGCTTCCTTTATCATAGTAAGCGGTACATGAACATATTCGTCGTAGGATCAACCAGTACCTACTGCTGTTTATTAATGTCCAGGCTCGTCCGAGAATATAATTATCAACCCCTTACAGTACAGGAAAATTTTGCTGGTGAGTTAGGCAATAGGGACCCGATCTTATAACGACTTAAATAAAATGAATAGGCGACGGTAGTTAAATTAAATCAGGTTAACCACTTCGAATCGAATTTAAATTATCAAGATTTAATTATGTTTTTATAGCCATTAGGTAAGGGTAAAGACGAATATTAAACACAATTAACAACTGGAACTAGTTTAAACTCACCCGCCACCGGTGATAGTTTCCGCATCACGCACCACCGCGACTTCCACTGCCAAAGACAATCCATGTTAGCATTCAAAACAATCTACTTTACTTTTCATACGTAAGAAGCATCCTTGTATATTAGTACCATATGGAACCCGCATTACACTGCTCACATGATTAACTTAGAGAGAATTCATCACAAATTTACGAGACATTTAAACTATAGTTCATAGTTATAAGTATAATTTTATTTATGCTAATAACTATGAAGAGTCTTGTAGATATGCACGCACGCACGCATGCGAGGGAGGCGCAAGCGAGCATTATCTTTGTTCAAAATCTTTTAATTTACTTATGTCAACTTTTCTTATGTGATGTTTTCTAGATCTTCAACATATCCGTTAAAAATTGAAAATCTACTTAAATAACGTAAATCTTTTTTGGGCTATAATGTTAGATCATAAGATGTACGTACGATATAACAAAGAGTTTTGGATTTTGTGTAAAATGAAAGTGAAATAAAATGTAAAAATAAAATTAAAATTAAATGTAATAAAATGGGTTGGGAGATTTACCCAAAGAAAATAAAAATTTTATTGTACATCGTGTTGGCCTTCTACATTTGGCTCTCATTCACGTAGCAGCATCCAGACTTAACATTAAAATATATCATTTCTACATGTTTTAAAGTTTTAATTAAAATATGTAGAAAAAGTACGAAAAGATTGTCGCCGCTGACGCTTTAACCCCTAAGCTAAATCTTAAGTGAAAAGATTGGCACTATAAACAATTTAAATTTATAAAAAGCAATGACG